ACCATGAAAACAAACCGAGCAAATTGGACAGCGTGGGCAACAGTTGATGGCAGGTACGTCGAAAGAACGTCCTCTTTCGATATGCTAGTCTGAACCTGGAGCTTCGTTGGCTCACGCCAGGAACAGACCCGTGAGCCCCCTGCTCGAAACATACGAGTGGAACAAACTCTTAGGTACAGAGTGTGACACACACACAGAGCTTTCTACTAGTGTTTTCTACTTTGGTTACAAAGCAAGTGGACTTTGTTACGCATTGTATGTATGTGAGTTCATGATGTGGAGATGTAGAGCATGTAGGGCAAGCTTCTTTCCTCAACACTCCGACGATGCCACTGACGTCCCGGTTTCACAGGGAATAGACAACCACGCGACGTTTGAAACAAAACATGAGAGCTTGAAGAGCTTGAGTCAAACTGCATACATTTGGTTGGTTTATCAATGGGAATGGCGATGCCAAAAAGAATTAACTGGAGCTTCATGCATTGGGTCTCATGTTTAGGTTCGTGAACTATCTCAAATCACCCATATACTTCCTGGCTTCTCTGTGTGCACACATGGGCACTCAGTGCGATGTCGAAACCACTTGACCACTCCCACGGATGTTCAATTCATTCTCAGCCACTTTGGTGGACCTTTCTCACAGTCTGTGTGAAAGAAGGGACTCCCAAGCGACCAGAGCGGACACTTCCAGGCTCTTTTTCTTTTGAAACGGTGATGTATTTGCCGTTTTCCCCCTGCAGTATTGGGGTAGACAATACTAGTGGGGCTCCTGAACTTTCACGAGTTGAGGTTTAGGGTGTCGGTTGGGATACTCTCCTGAACAGCACTTTATATTAGGAACTCCTCCACTCATGCTCAGGCGGAGCTGGCAGAGGTGCCTCAGCCACAGGTAGACAGGTAGGAGCTAGAATCCAAATGTCTCCAGCATGGCTCCATTTGTTTTTCTTTTTTAGATCAGGCATTTGCATCTTCACAGCTTCCGGTCTATACTATTTGATATTTAAAATTTAGTGTTTGCAGGTGTTCAGAAAGAGATTCATCCCATTTAGTGTATAAGTGCTCTCCAGCGGTGAGCTGGCTAGGCCGTTTGTTGTTGGACGTCACGACCGGTTTGTACCCCGTTTCCGGCGCTTCCCACTTCTTCAGAGGTGGAACTGTCGGAGCGCTAAAGATGTTTTCTCTTGCAACCCTCCAGCTACGGCTTCCAAGACTTGCACGCGCTGGCGCGCCGATCGTTGCTTTTCTGCTTCTCATCGCGTGAGGCTTTGATCAAAAAGGCCACGTTCTTCGAGGCTGGTCGGTTCTCTTCGCTGAAGGGGGTGAAGTGGTGTTGTCAAACCATGGATCCATCAAAGATGCCACCTGAGAGGCCTGCAAAGGGCTAGCTGACCGTCCGCCCGGGCTTCTCAGGTCTTATCGGGCAGGAATGAAGCCGGGCCACTGGACAGTTGATGATGCCATGTTGGCAAAGGCAAGAGTAGGATGAAAGTGACAGAGATGAAGTCACGTTTGCACTTGTCTCGGTACGTATACATTTATAAATATAAGATAAGTGTTTCCAGTCGAGGTGCTTATGACCTGGGATGTGACATTGACGGGTTTGGATAAGTGTTTTGCAATCAGAATGTACACCCTTCCAACCTCTGGTTGATCTGGAACCCATCAAGACTCTGGTTGAACAGAGCCTCAATGTAAGTGCCCCAGAGGATATTTTTCTCAGATGTCAGATATCATTCGGCCACTTCTGGACACTAAGCCCGGGGATAAAGGTGCGAAGCCACCAATGGTCCATGCTAACAATCCGCGCGCACCTCTAACCAACACCAACACCGCCGTATGCACACAAAAAATCCAGTGTGTTCCGCGGACACAATTCTTGGTCGCGCGGGTTGTGTCGCGGCTCCCAGCGTCCTAGCTCTGTATCCCCAAACACATCGAGGAATCATTGCCCCGTCATGTTCACAGACTGCACCGCAGCCAATGCGCCCTTTGACCGCGGGCGTAGCGTCCGGTTCCGTGACTGACTTCCTTGTTTTTAGCTGCTGTAAGAGAGCTAGCTAGAGGGGAAAGCACCTACCTCACTCCAACTGCCCAGGAGATTTGTTCACTGCTATACTCTGAGGACCTTGGCTACCGAGGTATCGATCTGGTGAGTCTGTTGCTTGGCATCGCCATCGGGCTGTTTTTGGGGCCACTATTTCGTCAGGCACTCTGTTCCCCGGTTGCTTCGATCAGCTGAAGTGTCTCCTCGGCCGCTGTTATTCAGGGTCTTGGATGGGCAGCAAGGACGTTCGCAGGTTGCGCATCGAAGTTGAGTGCAGGTCGAGGACAAAGCGGGCAGGGCTGAGCTAGCTCGGAGCATCGGGTGATTCGTGAAGCGTGCTTTTTGTGGTGAGCGATTGGGCTCTTCAGGTTGTGATCGTCTCGCTTTGAAGAACAAGTGCTTTTTGATCTTTGCCGAGTTTGAAGGCACTCATTTGACGCCCCCTATTTTCACCAGGAGGCTTGTTGAGGTGAGAGAGCAGCGAAGAGAGGATCCGAGTGCGGGAGGTCATTTTCATCGGGGTACCAACTCCGTGGGCGGCAGCCGTTGTTGCAGAGGAAGCAGGCGTTGAAGCGCTTGACCCTCTGACAAATGACGGCTTCTGGTGTTTGTTGTGATTTTATAGACGGGACCGCGCGACAACACTACGAGCTTGTTCACCTGCGCTCTCAGTCCGGAGGAGAAGCAAGATGTGCGCTTTGTTTTGATTGCTCAGGTTGCAAGTGGTGGCTGGCTAGTGGCAGCTCCAAAGCCTGCGAGCCCGACAGCTTTGGAGAGGAAGTTGCCCAGAAGAGCTCTAATCAGACCATTTTGGTGGAGGTGCTGAGTGCCAGTGTGCACGATTCGGAGACAGCTTTGGAGGAGCCTATGATGCGGTTATGGGTTGGAGTAGTCGATCCGCAGTTGATGAGACGCTTGAAACTCGGAGCAGGAGAGTCTCGAATTCGACAGATGTTTGGTCGTTTGCCCGAACTTTGGTTCGCAGGGGCATTTTGCTGTTGCTTCAGCCAGCGAGGTCGGAGGGGGCGCGTCAGTTGGTGCCCCAAATGTGGGCGATGGACACCCTATGGAGTCGAGAAATGGAGGAGGCTTTGATGAAGATGCAGAGCTTGCTTGAAAACCGCTGGGGAGGTGTGGCGCCTTCTGCTGCAGAGTGAAGGAAGCCTGCTTTGCGCTGACCAGAGACTGCCAACCCGGTAACCTCTCTAGAGATTCAAGGACTTGATCGAGCCTCCAAGCAGCCTCCAAAAGCAAAGGAGGAAAAGGGTCTTTTTGAGGAGGAGACCCCGCAAAAATTGAGTGCTTCTACTTAGTGCCTGGGCAGGGCGCCCCTACAGCGCATGCCGATCGAATTTGGTCAGATGTTTTTCTTTGCTGGCGAGGATCAAGTCGAGACTCGCAGCTGCTTTTCACTCATCGCGGACCAAGCCTTCGCAGAAGAGGGTTCCATTAGGTGAGGTGTGGCCCTGCCCCTTGCCCTTTCCTGAGCTCCACCAACGCAAACCAACCGTTGTCAGCGAGACGGACGTCCCTTTTGCTTGCTATTGACCAGAGGTCTGCTCAAAGACTTGTGATGTGGGGCAGCCAGTTTCACATTGCGCGTCACCTTAAGCAAACCCGTCTGCGTGTCATACAGACATACATACAGACATACATACATACATACATACAGACATACATACATACAGACATACATACATACATACATACATCCATGCATACACACATACATACACACATACACACATACACGCATACATACATACATACATACATACATGCATGCATACATACATACATACAAACATACATACATACATACATACATAGGTATGTACCTTTGCAAATAATATGTAAATATATTGTACGTAGTATATGGACACCTGTTCTTTGATAAACAATAATTGGTTGGCGGTTGCCCGTGGATGCTGAGATCCCCATCCGGCGCACTGCTGTTCCCTTAGTGTTCCCACGTTTGTTGCCTCAAGACCATCCTCTCACCCCGAGGATCCACTGTCCAGGTCCTGTCCATATCATGCACCACTGAACTCTGTGCTTTGTGGAGAAGGCGAGCTTTCGCACCGAAGTGAAGTTGATTCTTAATCAGCGTAAACAAAAAACCTTGCTCGGGAAATTTCATTGGCGACACTCGGGTGTTCGGACTCCATCAACGGTTTTGCTATTGGTGGGTTGTAGACCCCAGATTTCGCATGGGAGGCTTTCGCTGTGGTCCTGGGTCTCACCAGCATGACCACACATCCACACTTCCGGGCAGTGATGCATTGTGACCATTCTGTCTCCGCAGCTTTGGTGCCGGCATCATGTGCTAGAGCAGTCGGATGAAGCGATGACAGTGCAATGAGTGGCAATGAGGGTCATAGAAACTTGACGCCGTTCAGGCTTTCAATACCTGAAACGCAGTCCTCCCTAGCTAGCTCGTACTAGCTTTGTGTCATGAAAGGGCACTCCCATCAAAAATCTTTCCCAACGTCTTGGCAACATCAATTTTCTTGAGTTTCCAAACCTTCTTAGCTTGGCATCATGCAATGGATGCCCAATGCAGGGATCACTATCGAGGCTGCCGGATCTGGAAAATTCCGACGAGCAGTGGGGAGCATCCCAAGTTTGGGAAGTCTTAACTTGGAGCACAGCAGCTGTTCTGAGGTGTAAGTGTAGCTTCCTATCTTTCCCTCGGTCCTCTTCAGGAAGAAATCTTACAAAAAGCAACAGATTTTTTGGACCTCCAACACCACGAGTTGGGCAGAGACAACAGGCCCATGACTCCTATCCAGGTTTACCGGCCGCGACTTTGGATTTTGTGTGGGAAGTCTCCAAGTTTCCAAAATGCGTTTTGGATTTCGTCTCCGCAGGCCGTCAGATTGTCGTTGTTTCTCCTGAAAGCACATCCTCTGGGCTGAGGTGTCTGTGATATTCGTATCATTCCTGCGGGCTGATTTTCCGGATTTTTCCAAAGCTCGACAGCGAGTGCTGGTGCTAAATGCGTTCTGGAATAAGTAGCTGGGGTTGTTGAGATTAACCAATGCGACACTGTGTTAACCCACGCCCGAAGCATCCTGCAATTACTTGCTGGAACCCCCTAAACAAACTTCTGACATTAAATGACAACCACTCCTCAACGTGTGGCAGTGTTCCCTGTGAAAAAGGCAACATGCAGGCAGACAACCACTTAGAACTAAGAACCACCCAAGAATCAGTGCATTTTGCCACCTGACTCGCCTGACTGCTTCGGACCGTTCCCTGAACGGTTTGTCCAGGGCTGCAGCCTCTCCTCCAGCAGCAAGGCCTGGAAGGGCACTCGGGGGCTCCAGCCCCTGGCCCTGCCCGGAGCTGAAGGCAGCGAAGACAGGAACTGATGGACCAGAACCCCTGAGACCTTCTGCATATGGGCGTGTATTGTATTAGGGAGACATTTCCAGTTCGCCCCCCTGGAAGAAGGGACATAGACCACTACCCATGGGGCCAGCAGGTCCCTCTGTTGAAATACACGCCCATATCTTGGGAACACGAAAGTCGATCCTGGTTCTCAGTTTGTTGCTGTGTAGCCCAGCAACTGAGGATCTCATGCATGGTGCAATTAAAGTCTAATCGTCATGTGATGGTACGTCCTCTTGGCATACACATGGCATGTTGTTCGTGGGATGCGGGTGTGATGGGCAATGCGACGCCATGGAAAACAGCAGAACTCTTCAAAGAACCTGCCACAAATTTCTGAAGCAAAGGGTATCGGTTTATAGTGTATATTATATATTCAACTGTATTCAGTCAGCATCCGCCTTCGGTACACGCGTGAGGCAATTTCTCCCTCACCGTTCAGAGTGGCTTGGTTCGCCTAGGGCTGTGTACCAGTCGCGCAGAAATAGACAACCTGGGAACTGACTTGCTTGGCTTTGGCTTCGGTGGAACTGGCAAGACGCTGGCCAGCAAAAGGCAGAACAGGGCTGGTCTGGGAGTGAAGCCACTGTTAGTTGACGGAAGTGTTTGGAGAATTCCGCACAACGACCCGTGTCTTGACCCTTTCCCAACTGAAGGCTTGATCAAATTCTTGTGCCATCACCGCTGGATGGGGGGCCAGCTGGTAAAGAAGATTTACAAAGACCAGGTGATCCGCAGTCTTTCACCAGGCATGCATGTATTTATTTCACGCATGTGGTGCCCATCGAAGCGAAGTCCGAAGCGACGCTCCCAGGAAGTCTCACGCAGGCACCTTTGAGGACTATGGCGCGGCTCGGATGACCCGATCTCTTAGAGACACGGAGGAGCGAAGCATAGCGAAGCTCCGGATCATCCGAACAGGTTTGGCGCGTTCCTCTCAGATTTGGAGTCCAAAGAGTTGTGGGCATCATGGGAAGGGAGGCCTGAAAAGTTCTTGCAAGTGCTCCATACTTGCGAAGATCTCCGAAGATTCTGCTTGGTGGAGTCTTCATACGTTGACGTACTCAACCATGGCTATATTCATTTGATTCCGATGTATGTCTCACCGACCGCTGAGAATCACTGTCTGATCTGACCGAATCCGTCCAAACCCAGGAACCTTTTGGTGTTGGAGATCGGCTAGAGTGCGTCCTACGCCGCGACGTGCGCGGGGGCGTGGCGCTGAGCTACTCGAAGAACGGCCGAGACTTGGGTTTGGCTTTTGAGCTTGAGGCCTGGTGGCGGGTGAGGCTACTCATGACATCTCATGATCATCCATTCAAACTCCGCACGTGTGAGACCGATGAGGCGTCCCAGCTGCCACAGCTCTCGGAGTTGCCCCTGTTCCCTGCCATTTGCGGCCGGGCCTTTGTGGTGAACGTGGACGGTGACGCGGATGCGGCAGCGGATGCGGCCGCTCCATGGCGCACATGCGAGGAGTTGCGGACCACTCTGCGGTACTATGCTTTGCGCAGCCGTGGCGCGGCAAAGAGCCCAGTGCAAAAGGCAGCAGGAGCTGCGCGGCAGGAGGCACGGCCAAATGAGTTTTGATGGGGATACTGATGTGAGGTTCCCCAACAAATGACATTTGGTTCAAATTGATCACATGGGGCTGCAAACAGCACTGAACCGTGCTTGAGACAAGTCTGCTTGCTTATTTACTCCAGTTCTGAGAACTTGCATCAATTGAATCACTTGCTCACATTCTTCAAGAAACTGCGAGAACTTTTTCTAAATCTCTCTGCCCAAAACCCCTCAACCAAAGATCTCCTGAACATTCAAGTGCATTTCTATACTGCTCAACCCCCAGGATGCCCACACTGCCTTGCAGCGCTTCTTCGCCACTTCGGATGGCCCGGAGGAGAAGACGTCCGCCGTGGCAGCCTGGCTCCAGGGCCGCGCGGAGCGAGAGGGCCGCGTGGACTTCCGGAACTCCAAGGAGTCCCTTGGGCCCTTGGAGACTCAAGGCTTTGACAGATTATGCATCAATGCATGTGTGATCATGTGTGTATGAATACCGGGAATGTACAATAACTGTATATATATATATACATATGTATATTTATAATATATTTCATTGGTGAGAGACCCTGCTTTTAAGTTGAAAAACAACAAGTCAAAAAATATCAACATAGTAGTCGGTGCCAAAAGTCAAATTAAAAAGAAGTCAAATCAGAAAGTTTCAGAACGTCAAAAACAGGTCAATTGGCCCAGAGCCGACTGACTTTTTGCATTTTTTTTTTGACATTTTCGAGGTCTTCTAATTTTGTTATTTTTCATTTTTTAGAGATCGATCTTGACCTCGGATCTCGGACCTTGGATCTCGGACCTCGGACCTCGGGTCTCGGATCTCGGACCTCGGACCTCGGGTCTCAGGTCTCTCTCGAGAGACCAGATTATTGAAACTATAGGGAAGCTGGATGGGGAGTTGTCGAAGTAAAGCCATGTGGTTGTGCTTAGGGAGGTTTGGTCGTCGAGGGCCTTCACAGATTTGTGTAAGTTGATTTGTATTGGAAGCACGAGGTTGTATGGCAACATGCTACTCTCTGGATCTACAAGCTCTGAAGCTCAGACCATGAGCCGGGCTATCCCGTCCTGAGGTCTGAGTTTTCTCGCTGGAGTGCTCGGAGCCGAGGAGAGCGAAGATGATGAAGGCCGTGAAGTGCAAACCATGTACGTGGTTCAATGCAAAGACCCTGGCGGCGGCAGCGGTCTTGTGGAACTTTTCCTTCCTCGCCCGGAAGTCCGAAAGGATTTGCTCATGGCATTTGAAAGGGGCCTCTTGCCGGAGAGGTCTGCCCATGGAAACAAAAAGGCAGCGCAAGCCAAAGGCTCCAGGCGAAGAGCGTGTTGGCTGCGGAAAGTTGGTGTTGGATCATTTCCATAAACGCAATCATAGCCGGTACTTGAAGAACCTGCCTCAAGTCAATCCAGACAACCAAAAACACGGCCCTGCTGAAGAACAAAGGCGTGTGAACAATTGAACTGTTGGATCACAGGCAGAACCAAATCCAGCCTAGAGATGCCACCGGGGCGATTTGCGATTTACTGGTGGGCTCTTTGCTAGCAGCACAATGAGTGGTTGGAAACAGAAGCAGGCTGCTTGAGGCGGCGCTTTGCCAGGGGATCCCGGCCCAATAAAGACAAAGCGCTTGAGCTTGCAAAGTAAAAATGGGTTTTGGACAAGCCTGCTTCACAGCATCCCGAACTCGTAGTGTATTGGCTTTCAATGCAGTTCTTCTATTATATCGGCAGAAGCGACGCATTGTCTTCATTTGCTCGCAGTTTGAACTGTCATTGTCACTGCGCAAGCGCTTCGTGGTAGTGTGTGTAGCTGCATTGTGGCTTCAAGGCATGACTGTGCCGCGCAGGTCAAGCAACCACGCGAAAGAGTTGCGCCATAGTGTCAATTTGTGTCCTGTGCGCCTTTCGTTTCCGCAGCCGGTTCCTTTGAGCGTGTGGAGCATGTGGAACAAAAAGAGGCCGGCAGGCGCAAACCATGACTGAGGAGCGCTGCGTGACCGAGAATGATGTTCGTGAAGCCACCAGGCTCCTTGAAAGCGCGTGCCCATTTCCGTCGGAAAGCGAGGCCAAGAATGTTCCTTGTTCGTGGCAGGAGGTTTGGCTAGAGCTAGAAGTGCGGATCAAAGCTGCGTCTTTATTTGTTCACTTGCTCATTATGCTTTCTCTAGTCCTCAACGTGGTCCAAGTCCGATACGGTGGCATTCTTGGAAAGTTTCCCAACTTGGTCACACTTCAGCATGGCGAGCCCGGTGATGGCAAATCTATCGCGCTGTGGCTTGTGTTACAAGTGCTGTATCATTTTGACAGCGTCAAGGCCAAGCACCATGCCGCCAAGTACCTAGCGGCACAAAACAAAGGAACTTTCTATGGCGCCTCGCTTGCGTTCAGGAGCATCTTTTCCTTAACTTTCAACATGTAGCGCGTCGGCAACGCTTTACATTCAGTATGTATGATTCGCCATATTGTACCTATAGTAGATAAACAGCCAACCGGAGGACTGCATGTACGCGCGCGCGCGCCATACACTCAAACCGTTGCGCCTTTGACCCTGGCAGGCCGGGGCTGCCTGATGGAGAAACAGGGTCATCGCCTGACCACCAGATCTTAGACTTAGACCACGACATTTACAAGAACAATCCGGCCACGGGCCAGTCTCGTTTCCATATTCGAAACCCATGTTGTCGGCGCTGTTCTCCGACATTTAAATTTAGAAGAGTTGGTCGACGTTGCCAAGAAAGGGGACAGCGTTGGCGGAACGCCCCTTTTTCTGATTAGACATTTCTTGTCTGTCGTCTCAGGAAATGCAGAACTTGCTGAGACCCCACTACTTCTATGACTTATCTTATGATGAAGTTGTCCCAGCTGCGACCAACGTCTTGCTGTTGGCTGATGCAGTCTTCCCGTACCAGCGTCGCAGGAGTGATGAAGTTGGGAGCAGCCAGCAAGTTTTCGGAGATTCGGGGCATCCACACTATGGAGTTTGCTGCCGGTGTTGTCAGCAGCTTCTAGAGGGAATTCAATGATATGGTAGATGATTATCGAAAAGCAAAGAAAGCCAGTGATGGCAAGGCAAGCCTCCTCAGCAAGGACAGGACCAGGCCGCTGCAGTTTATCCCACACATCCACTCTCTGAGCGCGGCTTGCTGTCCAGCAAGCTCTGTGCCCCCAGAAGCTGCTCAGCTGGTCTCGGTGGTTTCAGACAGTGTACCCTTTCATCGTCAATACCTCTGAGAAGGTGGCCGACTTTCGCAGAGAGCGCTTGTTCAAGATGAATGTGCCACAGCCGCCTAGCGCCAAGGTTTTCGCGGAGAAGTTGCAGAAGGCGGTCTGTGAGTTGCGTGGGGCGCGCGGTAATCATAGCCGACGTATGATGTGATATATATACATACATGCGTACATACGTACATACATATATATATATATATCAGCCGGCTTTAGCCGCGACACTCTAAAATCAAGGAGGCCTAAGGGCTTGGAATGAAGGGTGCGCCGTTAGGCTGCGCCTACGCTGATCGATCCTCCGAACACATTCCTGTACAAGCACTTTGCCTACGATCCGACGACAGCAGATGCTGAGTGCGATCTTTTCCTCTTAGTGCTTGTTGGTTTTGTGGTTGTAGGCCACGGAGCATGGGCCAAGGTGAAGTATGCTGAGGACGATGAGAATTTCATGCTTGCAGCCAACCGGTTGCAAATGTTTTTTGCCAGATGTGCCATTTGATGTGTTGCGGGACGCCGTCCCCAAAGCTGAGGGGCCGGCTGCGAGCTTGAACCAGCCACATGCAGACACTGTTTGTGGGGCCATGGTGAACCTGCTGCAAGGCTGCCCGGTGAGCATTGACTCGCGCTGCCAAACGCCCATGACCTGACAGTCCATGCCGACATCCCTGCAACCTCTGCGCAGCCAGAGTTCAGTGAAGAGCCTGGCAAATGACCCACCTGTGGGTCGGAAAGTGAGGAGGAAGCGCCTGCTAAGAAGTTGCGACAAAAATAGGGTTCCGCAGCTGCAAGAGCGCAGGGAAGCTATGACCGAAACTTTGTCCTGGGTGTTGAAGCAGAAGAACCACAGCTTGCCACAATGGCGCGTGAATGAGAAGGCTTAAGAATTTTGCTGCAAAAGTGACGAAACTCTTGGTCGCTTGCACTTTGGCGGGGGAGACGTGTGGCAGTTGCGATCTGGTGAGACTGCCGGATGAGCACCTTGTGTCAGTGTCCAAGGGCCTGCAGGAAGTTGTGCAGAAGGTCAAAGAGAACGGCCATGGAAGTGTATGAGGACCATGGAAGTGTGTAGGAAGTTGTGCGCGGGGCGTGGGAGAAAGCTGTATACTGCTGTATACTGCGGGACATGGGAGAAAGTGTTTGCGGAGTTTGGAAACAGTTCTTGCGGATTCTGTTCTGGGCGGAGATTCGGATGTTGCATCTCGGATCTCGAATCTCAGAGCTTGGACGTCGGATCTCGGACCCTCAGATCTCGGATCTTGAACCTCTCCCAAATTGGAATCTCCAATCGGAGGCCTCCGATCTCGGACGTTTCATCTCGGATCTGGAATCTCGGATCTGGGTCTGGGCTTTTTGCCCATATCTGAATTCTCGAACCTCGATGGATTTTGATAATCGCAGACCTCGGGTCTTGGGTCTCGGATCTCGGGTCTCGGATCTCGGATCTCGGGTCTCGGATCTCGGATCTCGGACCTTGGACGTCGGAACTCGAATCTTGGACCTCGGATCTCAGACCTTGGACCTCAGCTCACAATACCAGCACCGGCGCCCGGCACCCAGCATGTCTTTTTTGAATGACTATGTAAAAAATACGTTTCCATTGACTTAATTTTGAATTTGACTTTGACTTTTCCAACTGAACTTTTTACACTGATTTATATGGACTTGACTTTTGAAAGCAGGCTGTCCTGGCCAACATATATTTTAACAGAGCGGGTGCTCCTGGGAGATGTTTTTCATGCAAAAATGATGCAAAAACACGATGTTTTACAGTGATTTCTTGCAAAATCATCTCAAACAACCAATAAACCACAAAACCAAAACAAGCAAAACAACAAAAAACCAATGTTTGAGACAAAATGCAGCCAACGTCCAAAAACCAATAGTGCACCCATTTTGTCTCAAACATTTTTTTTGGGGAGTTTTTTTGTTTATGTTTTTTTTTTGTTTTTTGTGTTTTAGTATTCTCTCTAAACTGGGATAGGCTTGGATCTCACAAAACTGATCAAAAATAGCTCAAAACCTCAATTTTGGAGATGATTTGCAAGAAATCACAGTAAAACACAGTGTTTTTGCTTCATTTAAGTTTAACGGTGGAATTTGATTTTAAAAATTGGATTTCAATTGATTTTGGTAGTAGACTTCAATTAAACCGCTTTCAGAATTATTGGTGGAAGTTGATTTCTTATCAGCTTTCTATTGAAATTGTTTACGATTAATTGTGGATTTTTTACAAGCTAAGTTTCATTTACGTGATTTTCAAAATCCTTGGGGAAATTGATTTTTATTTTTGATTTCGATTAACATTTCTTCAAGATTAATTATAGAAAAATGCATGTGTAATTCAACTTCGATTAAATTCCTTTTCAAGATCATTGTGGCAATTGATTTTAAATTAGATTTCAATTAAAACCCTATGATATTTCATTGTAGAAATTAGTCATTACTTAAATGTCAATTAAAGTCCTTTTCAAAATCATTGTGGAAAATGCTTGTTGTTTAGATTTTACTTTAATTTCTTGTCAACATAATTTGATTGAATTGCTTGTGTACTGGATATCAATCAAGACCCTTTTAGACTTGATTGTGGAAATTAGTTTTCAGTAAACAGTTAATGGTGGACATCAAATCTTATAATTAGATGTTAGTTAAGTCCTTCTATTTGATGTTGCCTTGTAGTGGGGAGCAAACAGATACAAAACCAATTCAAGTTAGTTAAGCATCACCATTTCCACAAGTAATCTTAAATCGATTTTAAACACAATCTGATATTAGATCAAAGCCACCACGAACTTTGAAAAGGACTTTAACTAAAATCTAATTGTAAGAACTAGTTTCCACAATGAGTTTTAAAGAGAACTTGGAAAGGATTTTTATTGCAATCTAATTTCTAATAAATAGCAATTTCGACAATCAATGTTAAAAGGATCTTGATTGACATCTTCTAGTTTAAGTTTACCTAATTCTGTTTTAATTCTTGTTTAGTTAGTTTAAGAAAACACATGTTACAAAACACCATATATTTTACAGTGTTTTTTGCCCTAGGAGTGCTGGGAATAAGACCAAAAACATGTTTTTGAGTAGATAGTATTTGTTTAAAGTAATCCCTTGGAATAATAATTGCTATATTAACACTGCTTTATGTACAAGCTTCTAATTCAAAAGGTTCCCTCTAGATCTGATCACTTCAGTGAAAAAATATACAGCTTTCATTTCAAAAGCTTTCCTCTGGATCTCTGGGAATAGGCATGGTATTTAAAAAACTATAAGTATGTATGCAAGTGTTTCTTTCAACAGCTTTCCTTCAATGACAATACAAAACTCTAGGAAATCTACTTTGCCAGAGATCCAGAGGAAAGCTATTGAATCTAGAGATGTATAGTATTATATCTTCATTCGCTCATGATGCTACATTCATTGTGGGCAGAGAGAGATTTACCTGATAATATTTATCATTGGTGTTGCACATTGATAGTGGGCAGACGAAGAGCTGTTATTTGTTGTCATTGACATTGGACATGGAGACTGGGCACAGACAGATCAAAAAATTGCGTTTCGCCCAGTTCTCAGAGCAGTTTTTGAACATTTGCACGGTATTTACAATGTTTTCTAAGGGTTTTGAGCTAGTGTGTGCTCTCCCAAGCACACCCACCCTCTATTTTAATATAATGTCATCCAAGTTAAGATATGTATTTTTATATACATACACGTACCGCATTTCATGAGTATATTGTGTTCATTGCGGGTGTAGCTTCTCCTTCGGAGGCTTATCTCCTAGTTTGCTCTTCACATGGTTTAGTGAAGCACAGATGTCACTCAATCTCAAGCATTTCCAACCATGGACTTCTTGGATGTACTTGACTTTGCTTGCATTTGGTGAAGAAAAAAGAGGTCTGGCATGCAGCAGGTGGGTTTGAAACTGCATTGGTACGGTCAAACCTATTTATGAATTTCATGGTTCCTTTTCTGGCTCCAGCCTTCTAAAGAGTTCCTTCGGGCTTCACAAGGTTTCCGTTGCTTTCTTCCAGATCCACATCTGTCGACCAGATCTTTTTTCAAGTAAAGCAGGCAGCAAGTGTCGGCGCCAACGGACAATCCTTTGCGAATCGAAGCTCGGAGGAGGTGCGGCGTGTGCAGCGGACCCACGCCCTGCCATCGGGTGTGACGCTGACCATCATCGATTCCCAACCAGCGAGCAAGGCCGAGTCTGTGAATCCTGACCAAAGCTGTAGGAGCATCTCACAAGTCTCATAATCATAAGGGTTTCCATTTGTCCTGAATTTCTTTCGAGGGACGACCTCTCACCGCTCACTGCGAGGCTGGCGCGGACCGCTCCTACGCACGGAATGTCGCTCTCTGGGAGTCGCTTCCGCGTGGGCACGCGGAGGTGCGGCAAGGCGAGGTGCTGGTGGCTCGGTAGCGAAGCAAAGCAAAGCAAAACCTTTTTTTTCTTGCATTTTTTGTGACTTTCTATTGAAGGCGTTCGGAATTTGGGAAAAGAAAAAGGACCTCGGATAGTATAGTTTTTAGTTCTAGATAGATGACAAGACAAGATCAGAAGGCTTTGCGTTTCCAAAATCGAATCGGCCCACCTCAGAGTGGAGAGGAACTCGTGCCACTTCTTTCTCGGCGCTTGGAGGTCTGCGAGCTTTCAGGCCTGCGGAAGTTCGGCAGCGCCGAGGAGAAGTTCGGCCCGTTGGCACGGGAGGCGCAGGGCGCGCGGCGCTGTGCGCTGCAAGCTCTGCCCAGTTGCCGAGTTGCGGCCTAGCAAAGCGGTGTTATTTTTCATTTTGGTAGGCATTCCATGCAATCGCCTTCACTACTCAAGCTTAACGGTTTGGTTGGGACGTCATGCTCACGTTTGTATGGACCTCGCTGACTCATCGGCACGCCGCCGAGGTTCTATGTCTGCCATGAGCGACCCTGGCGAGTTAGTGATGGTGTTCCTCACAAAGGAGATACTTGTTCTCCAAGATCTTTTGATCATGGACCTTTCAACTTTCAATAGATTTGCCGTTGCCACCCAATAGTTAAAGGTGGATCATATATCCCCTCTAGCATATGACTGATGTCTTTGTTTTACAGGGTTGCATACCACGCTGTGATTGTTCTATGAGTATTGTAAAAGGGCATTCTGTTTACATTATCCGTTTTGGCTTGATGAGTTGTTTTGACCCTGGTGGCCGCAGGCAGTTTGTCTCGACAAACTAAAGGGTCCAACCAGTTTGTCTTCCTGCAGCCCCAGAGATTGGACTTCGCAAGACCGCCACGGTGGGGACAGCCTAACTGGGCAATGACGTTCTGCACTGAGGAACGGAGAGATGTGCAAAGTGTCCTTCTTCCAGCTTGGTGGGGATCCTTACTTGGCTCTGGGATCCAAAAACGTGACGCTGGTGATCAATGTGGCCAATAAGAAGAAAGCCTTGGCGGACCTGGCAGCTTATGAGGAAGAAAGATACCAGTTTGCGGTGGAAATGGCCGAAGTCTTTCTTGAAGCTCAGCCCAGCTCAGCTTGTGCAAGGTAAATGTGGTTCCAAAGTGTTCTGAAAATCTGACTTACCGGACTCAGCAAGAGACCTTCCTACCAAGTTACTAAGGTATTACTCCCACACCTCCCCTGCGGTTCTGTAATATGACTCGCAGCGTTTTTCTTTTTTGTCGCACCTCGTCAGTTTTTGGTCTTGTGGATCTTTTTCATACATGTTGAGTGCTGACAAGCGTTTCTGTGCAAATTTTAGCGTTGTAGTTGCACAAACCTGGAGGCTACAGAGTGATTTCAACAATTGACAGCAGAGCATCACAAAACCTGTATATACTGTAGACTCTAGACTAATGAGATCCAATAATTAATGACGTATATCATATCATCATATCCAAGTTTGGACCTTCATTGATCCAACCACTCACGCTTGTATGACGCACATCCCCCCAAATTGGAAGAGTCGCAGTCGCTTAAACAAGGTACGTTCGCCTTGTCTGACGGTCAGCATGGCTGTGAGGGGGAAGGGCACCCCATTCCAACCCGATTCACCGCATTTACGGGTATCCACCGTGAGCACCCCTTGTGGCCACACCTCTTGGTTGGTTGAGGCCGCTGCTTAGCCTGTTTGGTTGGGTGTGTGGGTCGGTGGGTCCTCGGTGGGTGCTCGGTGGGTCCTCGGTGAGCTCGGGTGGGTTTGGAGACTGAGCTCGGTTTGCGTTTTGAGGATCAACTCTTCGATGAGCTCAGTGAAAATCAGAGGAAGCAACTCATCAGCTTTGTGACCGAGAAAGGAGCCACGCTCTGTGGGGAGTCGATCTCCCCGATGCATCAACATATTCAAAGCTATCGAGATGGGCATGGAAAGATCCAGGCCAGTCCAGGGATGAGAAAGATTACTGGACACTCTTGACGACCATGCGGAAGCAGGTAAGCATGTGTGAGACTCTCTTGGTTGCTCCATGTTGCGCCCATAGAGGCATTCCAGAAGGGCCCGGGCCCCAAATTGACGACCTCCTGCGTGAGGCCCACATCCGGTTCTTCTCAGTGACATCTCCGAAGCTTGGCCTCACGAGCATGCTCACCTGTAGGAGATCATGTCCTTGCCCGTGCCTCCCAAAATGTAGTGTTTGGCCTTGAGAAGGACCTAGTATGCCATTGACAAAATACCCTTGAAAAAGGCAACTCCTGGAGAAGGGCAAGTGCGTGGCACATAAGTGCGTGGCACATGAGAAAGGGCTTCGGCTTAGCCATAAGATGCAATGCAATCTTTTGCCCTTGGCCAAAGGGTCCTTAGACTAGGCATCCCTTGAGAAGGGAAAAGGTGCACCCCTTGCAAAAAGGGCAAAATGACTGTGTTGAGAAGTGGTGAAAGGGAAGAGTGCATCCATTGAAACGGGGAAAGGTTCATCCCTAGCAACAGGAGAAGGTACGTCCCACTCGATACAGGCAAAGGTCTGGACCTTGAAAAGTGACAAGGTGTGTGCGTTCCATGGAAAAGGGAAAGGTGCCCCTCAAGCTTCTTTGCCTAGAGGGAAAGGGCAGGGTGCATCGCTTGAAAAAGGGAAAGTTGCACTCCATGAGAGGAAAAGGTTCATCCTGAAAAAATGGACAGGTGTCTTCTTTGCCTGGAAAGAGGGAAAGGGAAGGGAGCATCGCTTGAAAAAGGAAAGCTGCATCCCGTAAAAAGGGAACGGGGCGTTTGTTCAACAAGGGACAGGTGGATGAATCCAAAACAGGGAAGTGCATCCTTTGAAGAGGGAAAGGTGCGTGTAGTGAGAAACGGAAGGCACGTCTCTTGAAAGAGGGAAACGGGCTAAAGTGCAACCTTTTCTTCCCTTTTTTCAAGAGCAAGGTGCTCTCCTTTTTTTGGTTCCCTGGAAGAAGGAAGGTGCCTTTGGTGCCTTCTCTGAAGGGGTTCCGGTTTCCATGCGAGGGCAGCATCCTGCAGCGGCTTAACTTTGTTGGACCCAGTGGAGGCCGCTCAGCACTTCCGGGCATGGGGCCTTCATGCTGTGGAGGCGATTGATGAGGCGAGGGAGTCGCTTCGGAACGCAGAAAATAGTTCGCTTCGGAACGTGGGAACGGTATCGCTTCGGAACGCGTGTCAGAGCTAGTTAGTAGGTTGGAGGCCATCGCTACGACGCAACCCACCCCACCCCCCTGAAAAGTAGAGCCTACCTGTACAGGGTTCCACTCCAACAGCTGATATAGTGTGTCCATGCTTGACTGCTTCAAGGCTCAAAGAGCAAGAGGATAAGACTCTGCGCATAAAAGACACTAGCGGTCTGCACCTCTACCGTGTACGCCCTAGTCACTCTTTCACCCCCACCCCCC